AAAGGTTAATCTTGTGTCTTGGGACCGTATTTGTATGTCGGTTGAACATGGCGGTCTTGGTCTTAAGAGAATGGAAACCCAAAACGAAGTTTTCCTGATGAAATTGGGATATCGTCTGCTGACAAATGATAATCAATTATGGGCTAAACTACTGCGCTCTAAGTATAAATGGAATGATATTCTTCCTATTTCAATCACTCGCCTAGGATGTTCTCGTGTTTGGAGAGGCCTGAGTCTTATTTGGCCTGAGGTTTACTCGGCGATTAGTTGGAGGCTCGGAAATGGTGAAACTGTGGATTTCTGGAAAGATGATTGAGTTTATGATTTTGGTCCTCTCATGCATCATTGCAAGATACAAAACCTCTCTTTTCAACCTACACCGGTTGCTCTCATGCTGGGTGTAGATGGTGATTGGAGGTGGGAAATGTTGAGTCCGTTATTAGCAGATGAATTATTACTGTCAATTGCAGCCGTAATCTCCCTAAACCTAGTGGTGGTGATGATAGACCACGGTGGAAATGGGAGAAGAATTACACATTTTCCATAGCAAGTGCTTATGCACAGAGAATGGGGGCTCATTCTAATGAGGCTTCGGAGTTTTGGAAAGCCATATCGTGCTACAAGGGTTTATCGAGAGTCAAAATGTTACAGAGGGTGTCTTGCAGCGAGGGAGGCGTTTCTGTGAGAGAGTGTTCGAGCTCATGAAGCCATGAAGGAAGACGCGCGTAGAGGTTTAGATATGGCTCGCGAAGTTGTCAAATGGTGCACCCCTTCTTCGGGCTGGTTCAAAATTAATTCTGATGGGTCTCGTAAGTCTTCGACCGGTTTAGCGACGTGTGGAGGAGTCATACGTGATTCAAATGGCAATTGGATTATGGGGTATTCAAAGGCGTTAGGGAGGTGTTCCGTGTTTGATGCTGAGATGTGGGTGTTTACAGGGGTTATCTGTAGCCTGGGATTTGGAAATCAAAGATGTGGTGATAGAAACTGATAATCGTGAAGTCTGCGAATTGCTTTGTCAGGGCAAGACTATGGAAGGAAACTCTCATTTGATTTCTCACTTGATTGAGATGTTGGATCGTCCTTGGAGACTGCAGTTCTCTCATACGCCGCGCGAAGCCAATCAGACTGCGGATGCAATGGCGAAGATCGCATGGAACATGCCATTCGGAGCTAACAGATATGCTATTCCCCCTGATGCTGTTTCTGGTTTGCTACGTGATGATGCTATTTCCCCTGATGCTCTTTCTGGTTTTGCTACGAGATTATGCTATAAGAGTGCTGCAATCTACCTTTCGGTCTTTCCTTTGCATTAAAAAAAATCAAAATACTATAATAATAAATTTTTAATTAAAGTGATTTGCTCGAAATAAAACTATATAGAAATCGCTTTATTAGTATAAAATCACTAGACAAACCAAAATAATTTGTGGCAAAGAGAATTATATTATTTTTATAAGAGAGAAATTAATTGAATAAAAGAAATGAAATCGTAAGCCTATAAAACAAATGATAGATGAGATTTGATCAAATATAGCGATGTCAATGATCCTAGAGGTAAGCAATCAGCTCTCAAATTTTGTTTCCATTCACAGTGATATATATATATATATATATATAGAAATTTTCTTTAATAAAACATTTAATTCAATGCACCCAAAAATCTTGAATGGTTCAAACATCTTTCCATTTTCCCGAAGCCCTTCATTGCTTCCCAAGCAAATCCCTTTAATGGCTTTCCCGATTCTTTCGTCCCATTTTTTTATTCTGTTATTACAATCTGCTCGTTCATTTATATATATACATCCACATATATATGAATAAAATAAAATTTGCATTAATCATATTATTAGTATGAGCAGTGAAACGTTAATGGAGAAACCGACGAGTGGAAAATGTCGATGCAGAACCCAATCCTGGTACACTGTTTTCATCTCTTTCCTTTTATGGTTCACGCTCTACATGATTTATTTGTATTCTTCGTATGCCACGTTTAGCAAGAGGGAATATAGTTTAACTGTCAACAATGATACGGCTATTTTAGATTCATCCGAGTCTTTTCACGGTGTTCTTAGAGATTACGAAACCGAGGATTTTTCTCGGGTTGGAGGTATTAATCTTGAAGATACTGTTGATGATGAGGACGAAGCAGATTCTGAAACAGAGGAAAAACCTGTCGAGGAGTTGTCTGAGGATGATGAAGTTTATCAGGTGATTCAGTCGTAGTTGACTGAAGAACAAAATGAAACTGAACCTGTTGAGACCGAGACGAATTCCGGTAATGAAAACGAAGATGTGGCTGGTAGTAAATGGGTTAAAAACATGGATGAAGATGATAGAACTGTGAAAGACAAGAAAGGAAAATCATGCGACCGAACAGAAGAAAGGGACAGCAAATGTTGCAGAACGAAAAAGGGAAGACAATGCCGAGGATCAGGAGAAAGGGAAGGAAGATCGTGTGGCGAAACGGAAAGTGGCTGCAAATCATTTAGAAAGACATGGGAGAGAATGTTGAAGATCGAGCGGCTAAAGGAAAAGCGGCTGCAAATGTTTTGGAACAGCAAAGAGAGGGCAATACTGAGGATCAAGAGAAAAGGAATGGGGCAAGACCAACTGCAAATGCTTCGGAACGGCAGAAGGGAGAGAATGTCGAAGATCAAGCGGCTAAAGGAAAAGGGACTGCAAATGTTCTGAAACAGCACATGGAAGACAATGCCTAGGATCAAGAGATAAGGAATGGGGCAAGACGAAAAGAGACTGCAAACGTTTCGGAACGACAGAAGGGAGAGAATGTCGAAGATCGAGCAGCTAAAGGAAAAGGGACTGCAAATGTTTTGTAACAGCACATGGAAGACAATGCTGAGGATCAAGAGAAAAGGAATGAGGCAAGACGAAAAGAGACAGCAAATGTTTTGGAACAACAGAAGGGAGAAAATGTCAAAGATCAAGCTGCTAATGGAAAAGGGACTACAAATGTTCTGAAACAGCACATGGAAGACAATGCCGAGGATCAAGAGATAAGGAATGGGGCAAGACGAAAAAGAGACTGCAAATGTTGAAACATTACTGGTTGTTAAGAACCGAACCGAGAGGACAGGGCACCCGAGGAGAGAAACCAAGAGTAAACCTGTTGATTCATCTGATCCTGTAATGGAGAAAAGGAACGAGAAAGCTGTTGTTTTGCCGAGAAGACCACGAGCTCGGTTGGATCCATGTTCAAGACGGTATATATACATTCATAACCTTCCAGGAAATTTAACCAAGAATTACTTGAAACTTGACGGTCGCTTAGTTTCTGGACAGATATGTGCGAATGTGCATCAAATCTCGGTCTAGGTGCCCTCTTCCTAGGAATGACAAACTTTATTCAGGAACAGGCTGGTTTAATACAAACCAGTTTTGTTGGAAGTCATTTTCCATAACAGGATGAAGCAGTACAAGTGCTTAACTAAAGATCCATCGGTTGCTTTGGCGATCTATGTTCCGTATTATGCTGGCCTCAATGTCGGTCGTTACCTTTGGGATCCTGATGGGTTTATAAGAGACTATGATGCAGTTAATCTTGTCAAGTGGCTTGCATCTAGAGCTGAATGGAAAAGAATGTGGGGTAGAGATCATTTCCTGGTTGCTGGAAGGATTAATTGGGATTTCAGGAGAGACCCCAGAAATGAATCTGATTGGGGCAACGAGCTTCTGAATTTTGATGAATCGAGGAACATGACATCGTTGGTACTTGAGTCATGTCCATGGAAAAAGACTGCTTTGCTATACCTTATCCAACGTATTTCCATCCTTCAAGAGACGGTGAAGTGTTTCAACGGCAGGACAGGATGAGAAGACTGAAAAGAAGATTCTTGTTCTCTTTTGCGGGTGCACGAAGACCTGGTCTCCATGAATCTATCCGCAACGAAGTCATCGATCAATGTCTCGCTACGAGAAAGAGATGCAGGTTCCTCGAATGTGATAAAACACAGAAGTGCCACAAGCCAGCATACTTGTTGAAATTATTTCAAAGTTCCATCTTCTGTTTACAACCTTCAGGGGATTCCAACACCAGGAGATCGATATTCGATTCAATTGTAGCTGGTTGCATCCCAGTTTTCTTCCATCCAGGTTCATCTTACGTTCAGTATATACGGCATTTCCCCAAGGATTACAGGAAATACTCGGTGTTTATACCAGAAAGAGACGTTAAGTCCGGGAAAGCCAACATCGAAAGAATATTGCAAAGAGTTTCAAGAGAAGAGCAGCAATGAGGGATGAAGTCATAAACATGATTCCATCGGTGATATATGCAAATCCATCATCAAGGTTGAGGAAAACTAAAGATGCATTTGATCTAGCAGTTAAGTGTTCTTGACAGAATTGAGACAATGAGGAATCAGATGAACGAGGGGGAAATAGTGAATTATGAATTTGCTGAAGAGGAGTCTTGGAAATATTTTGCATTTGGGAAACTTGGACCCCATGAATGGGATATTTACTTCTCCAGAAAAGAAATGGTCAACATGGACCATAACTTTGATCCAAATTCCCCTTTTTTTTGAAAGAAGAAAATGAAGGATGAATGTCGAGTAGGAAGAAGTATTAGCAACTGAAACTAGAAGCACAAACATAAGGGTAATTTTGTTTTAAACTATTGTAAATTGTAGTAGTACCAATTTAGATTATGTGCTTATTGGAGATTATTATAGTCTATGGACTCCAAAAAGGTCTTTCTCCTTCCACTGATTAGAGTTCTGAAAGTTACATATCATTAAAGCTTGTTTATGAGGTAGAAAGTACAAGGGATTGTGACCAGAGGAACTCTTACAAGGTAAAATCGTTTGAATTCGGAGTTCAGCTCAATTGATTCATACAAGCTTTCTCAAACAACCGTGAAAATAATAAGAATCTTCAAGAAACGGTGGGTCTGGAGGTAAATCGGAAGGACACTTTAATGCTGATTAAAACTTTGGACATTATACACATTTGCCTAAGTTTCATGCACTATCAAAGAGTTCATCAGCAACAGATAATTTAAAGCAGAAAAAGTTTTTTAATTTAATATCAGGTGCTTTGTACCCCAAACTGCTACATTCTGTGGCTATTTTATGAAAGTAAAACTTTAATCAAACATGTACATAGCATGATAATGGGAAAAAAATAAGCTTTATGGTCTGTGAAATCGGAAAGTCACACAGTGAAAAGTAAGAGAGTTTTCCATTGTTTATCAAATCCAAAAGTTTCTCATTGTTTTCCGTAATAATGAATTGTTCCTCATCTAAAGAGTTGAATCCTTCGAATGTGACTAACAGAGGACAGCCAAATCGATGATAAAATACATATCAAAAGTGGGCCAAGCTGTAGATGAGAATCCACGCCAACTGAATAGGAAAAAAAGAGGGTTTCATTAAGCTATAAACATAGGAAAGCTCCTTCTGCAAATATTATGCTATGCTGGCATTTGATCAGGAAAGAAATAACAAAAAGTTATTTGAGTACCAGAAAGAGAGTTATTGAAGCAAAAAGCCCTTCTTGTAGAAGAGCTGCATGGCCACCAAATTCTTCCTCGTCGATCTTTAGTATCATTGCATAATAACCATATATAATTCCAGTGGATATGGCCAGAAATCTGCAAGCAAATAACAACAAATATTTAACTAAAAGTTCAGAAAATAATAAGAATATATAAAAAAGGCAGGACAATGATGATGCCAAGGTCAAATACTACTACTATTTGCTTATTGAACAAACAGTAAGTGGATATCAAGACATTCAAGATAACTGAAGTTGGCAGCATAAACCCCTTGACATGATATGCAGAAACCTCAAAAACTCATGGTAATTTTAAAAATTGTTGGCACATGAAGACAACAACATATTCCTTTCAAAGATTCAACGAAATGGGATGGTGACATGCAAATTTGGTCCTCAATAAATGCACGTGTAAACATTCATGTATTTAACTTATCAATTTCAAAACATCAATGACAGATACTGCATTCAAAATTGTTAATACCTACGATGAAATATACATTAAAACCAAAGGCATGCACATGAATATGGACATGTTACATTAAGTAAAAGCAGAGATTAATATGAAACTCAAATGGTAAAAGGGGCTATCCAGTTAGCAAATTACACCATCATAGAGATTAGCTGTTCCAGATATCTACTAAAACACATTATAGGTTTGACGACACTAAGATTTATTAGCGATTCATCCACAGGCAATCAAAGATTTTTTTCAAATTCTAATCACCATAAATCAAGAGCACTAGTTCCGGCCAATTGCACCAGTGTAAATTCCAAAAGCCCAACACACGTCTCCTGATATATGCAGGGTCATACCAAGTGCACACCTCCCATCACAACAAGGCATCTACATAACTAGTGAGACTCACCAAACTTGGGACAGATTCAACTATCCGATACAAGTCAGAAAGCATTGCAATTTACTAATGTAGGCAACATGAATCTGAGAACTTACATGAAGATCCAAATGCCTCCAACCACTGGGATTGCTCCCCATAATAAACCACAAAAAAGAGCTACAACTTGTCGAATCCAGTGCAATACATCTCCTAATTGATCCTGCTTCAACAATGAACCAAAAATCTTTATAATTTTCGTTTTCCACAACTTACCCAATTCAAGTTCATTCATGATAATCCAATAACCCCCCCAATTGAACATGAAAAAAGAAACCCATTAAATTGAACTACTTCCAGAACTAAATAAGCACAATTAAGAGCATAATTGAAGTAAAAATGACTGTAATTGCAGTTGACTATTAGTGTATCTGACTCTAATAAATAGTAAAGCTTTCAAATAAAGTCAACAAAATTAAAGAATAAAAAGAAAAGCAGATTATTAACCTTGTCCCAAGAAGCTTCTGGATCTAATAACTTGGCGAATTTGAACGGAGAGAAATGACCGTTTTCGTGTTGTTGATGCTGCTGTGCATTCAATTTACCTGATTTCGCTTCTTTCATAGTCAATTTTTTCTTCAAAAAAATTACAAATATAGTATAAGTAAAACAAAGAATTCAGTATAGAATAAGAACTCGGATTTAGATTAATTTGATGTTAGAATTGAATTAGGGTATCGGTTGTGGAGAATATTGAAACTTTTCGAAATCCTTCGATGTCGATCTGAAAGGCAATGGATGGCCAGATGGGATGTCGTGAAGAAGAAAGACTGAAAGAGAAGATTATTTCATGTTATTTCTTAAATTTCATACAATACTTTATTTCTTATTAGTGCTCGGCACGTGATGTGATTTTAATCTCTTTTTTAGTTAAAGTAAATAATTGATTCCTCGATTATAGGATATTTTTTTTGTTGAATATCTTTATTATTAAAAGTTATAAAATAATTTTTTTATTATAGGATGACGTTTTGTTGAGTCTTCAACTATTAAAAGTTTAAAAATAGTCTCTCAACTATTTGTATATTCTAAACTTATTTTTTTTGTTAAAAATTTAAGGGTCGTCTGAGCTAGACGTCAACATATTGACCGAGATATGAAAAAATATGACCCTATAGTTATTTTAGCTATATTTTGTGGATTGACTCTTCAATTTAATTCTACCGTCGATTCAATGCACGAAACATTATATCGTCAAGCTAGTTCTTGAAAGCAACCGCGTTAACAGTAGACATCAATATGATTTTATCATATCAACATCAACAAGTTAACATTCAACTCAAATAACTATTAAATTTGACGAGTTTTGAACATATGAATAGTCGGGCGATAATTTTGTAAGTTTTAATAGTTGGAGGACTTAACAAAACATTATCCTATAACATTTTGAACATTTTATAAATTTTAGGATAAAATATGCCAATGGTCATTAATGTTTGGGTTAGTGTTCATTTTCACCACTAATGTCTGAAAAGTCATAAATTGATCACTAACATTATCGTTTGTTACAAAATGGTCACTCGATGTTAATAGCCGTTAAAAATCGTTACTGCAAACAAGCTAACTTAACATGTTTGATCAACCGTTTAACTCTTCTTCTTCTTGATGGCTTGCAAGGATGGCGAGAATAACCAATGCTTCGTCTATCATCCCACCTCTGACGTCCTTCAGTAGTCTCATCAACGGTGGCACAATAGCAGCCTTAACAGCCCTCGCCTTGTTTCCTTAATAAATTGAAAGATTGAAAATAACAGTCGTGGCATATTTCTTTCCTCTCGAAGATCCTTCACAAATAAACTTTATAAGGACGAGAATAGCACTGGCGGCACCGATAGCCACATATAAACTGGCAAATAGCTACAGGGAAAAGCGCACAGCTTCCCCAAGTTGAAAAATCCAGCCAAAAATCGTTTTTTCTCCAAATTATGCAACCTAAAATTTAAAAACAAAACCTCATAACCTCGCTAAAATATTAAATATTTATTCAACTTATAAACACTTACTTGATATGCCACATGTTGTACAAAAACAACCTTAGATTTCATTCAAGACGGAAGTTTTATACCAAGAAGTAGCAACGGTTGCAGTAGTAGAAGAATTCATATTTGATGAACATATATCTCTTTTATATTTTCTTAAACCTTTTTAAGAACTACCTACTTCATCAATGTTGGGTATCAAATGTTGTAGTGCTTTTACTATCAATTGTCAAGCTAAAGTAAAGAATGAAGAAAGAATAAAGAAAATGATTTTGGGTGTTGTCTTGGATTTGGGAAAAACTACATACCAACTATTAAAGTGTTGAGTAGAGTTGAATATAGAGAGGGTCTAAATATGTAGCACATGATGAAGAAGCAGTAGATGTTAGATTACATCCGCTGGCTATAACGATAGCCACGACAATGAGACCAACGATAATAAAATTGTTCACGCTTGTGAATGCTTATAAAATATGCGAAAATATGTGCAAGTATACACAATCGAAAAAGTAATATATAGTGAGTGAGAATCGTCTCCACAAGGATTGGAGGAGATTAATAGTTAAGTCAGAACAACAAACTACTTTATCTAAGTATAGCTAATGGTATGCTCAAATGGTTATGTTGAGGCAAAATAAAATGTGTATAGGTGGGGTAAAAATGTTAGTGTAAGTTGTTGGCAAATGAGAATGACGTGGAAAAAGTAATTGTTTAAAGTGAAGTTAAATGGAAATGTTAAGGTAAAACAAATTGATAATTTGAGAATTGAATAAGATGACTTGATAATCCTCACACAACAAGTTATTACGAGAATGAATGATAGGGTCACCTAGGAATATTAAGTCTTACCTTTTAGGATGGTCTAAACTTCTATGTCTTACTTTCTTTATAGAGTTTACTACGAGTATTCTTACGATTCTTACGCTATCTCTAGTCATGGGATCTGACATATGAGAATGCCACGATAAATTCTCTTGGCCTGATGCAGTAACATCTAACCTATTGATTCGACACTACTCCTTTTAGTCATTGAAATCCTAACCTCATCTCTCACGGTGGATTAGGCTCTAGTTATCAGCTAAAACCCATTGCCTACATCGATCTTCCTTTAGTTTCTCTCGAACACTAAAGATCATTTACTTAGTTTCTCTCGAACACTAAGTAGTATACTTAAGAAAATACTACTCTCATAGCTCCTACAATCTTAAGTAATCAAAAACTATAAGCAAAACAAGTAATAAACATAGAAATATCAACCATACATTAAAGAAAAATACTTAATCATCCACAATAAACCCCACCAATAAAGTTAGTTCATGGTCGGATTCGAATAATCCATGAGAATCATTTGTTTCTTATAACCCATAAATATGAATAAAAATAAAGCATAAGGGTGGAGGAAAACTCCCAACACGCGCTGCCGGCTCTCTCAGCCACCACAAACCACCTTAGCAATGCTAATTCCTCTCGGACGCCTAGCTCGCAACTCCCTCAAGCTTAAAAATAAAGGGACACCACGAAAGGGGTGAGAAAAAATAAAGAAAGTTGTAAGCTTTGTGCGTCATTTCTCCTCTGGTTTTTGCTCACTTTCCCCCCCAAGAAGATTATCCCCCTCTTTGTGGTGTCTTAATCTATTTATACCAAGGGAATATACCTAGGGTTTTGTGTCAAAATGACAATGGTGCCTTAAGGTACATCCCCTACACGTGAAAAAGGAGTACAAAGGTGGTAGTGTTCCCCTCTTAGGTGGCAGGCTGCAGGAATCACGTGATGGTTGGACAGCTGGCTCTTTTATAAAAAATATCTTCAGTTCTTTTTTGTCTTTTTATGTGCCCAGAAATGTCATCCTACCTGCCACAACATGTTCATTCTGCTTCAGCATCTCAGTTTGCTACGACGATTCTCCTCGCACACCCTTTTGCTTTATGACCTATACATCAGCAACCAAACACAACCTTTCTCATAAAGCATAACCAATATGTCATGGCAAAATAAATCTACCATATGCAACTATATGATCCTAGATGCATCTATATGGTCCTAAATATGCCTTAAGACAATCAATAAATTAAGTAAAAATACCATAAATATAGCATTTTTACGGAGTTATCACATCCCAAACTTAAGCTATTGCTTGTCCTCAAGCAATGGATATTGGTTAGCAAAATAAAGATGTCATGGCAAAGCCTTAGGTCAAGATAGTGATGTAGGAAAAAAATTTAGCCCTCAGAAATAATTGGCTTCAATATGCTAGACTAATTGCGAAGTCAAGTACTGCTCCCTAGAGCAAGATCCTTTGCTTGTGTGTGTGTGTGATTGTATCCAGTCTATGCTTAATGAAGTTAGAAAGTTTGTACTCAAGTACTTTTATTTTTCCGTAGCATTTTCATTTGACTCTAAGCATAACTTTCATTCTCATTTCCTTTCAAATTTTTTATGAGGGGAGTCATCCTATTATACCTACTTTCCTTGACTTAAAAATGAAGTAGAGCAAATACCCCATTCCCTAGCCTATTGAGTAGAGTCATCCCGTGACTACTTTCATTCACTCGTATGCCATGGCTGCCATTTTTAAAAAAAAAAAAGTATCCAGGCAATGCCATGGCAAATAGGAGTATCTCTCTATAGTTATGTCGAAACATTTATTCGTAACTAAACATAGTTCAAAATTTAGGGGAGTCAAATTTCAGCCTTTAAGCTCATTGTTAAAATTCTATGCTACAACATATATAAGAGTTATTTTATACAAAATGTCTAAGTTCCATAAACATAGAAAGCATATTATCTTGTATTAAAGAATCACAAAGAATCAAGTCCTAGAGTTGGTTTTATCGTTCACAATAGTCATATACATTCAACTCTAGCCATAGGAATATCCTCATCGGGCATCTCAAATTATTCCTACAAACTATCTTAACACTTATAAATACCATGATAAATTAGTTCTGATAACCCTATGAATGCAAAAAAAAATATCCTAACAAGGACATTACCACCCCCAAACTTGAAGGAAGTATTATTTTCAATGCAACAGGAAAAACTAAGTGAAATATTAGACTAAATGATATATGTAATGTAATGCAATGTAAGGTACCTCGACTTTCTATGGTGGTGTTGGTGGTGCATCTAGGTCGCTTTTTCAGAGGTGGGGACATGGTTATTTGAAGTCCGATTATGGTTCGACAGGAGTATTACTAGCGCTCAGACGCTTCTTGTCAACTAGAGACACAACCCATCCTGTGAATTTCTTCAAGCGCTATGTGGTCCTTTGCGGGCTAGATTGCTATGGCATTGTCGAATATTTGACTGTTTTAGCAGCAGGTGCCTCAGCAACTCGGGCGATCTCATATGGTAGCTTGGGTTTAGTTTGGGGTTGGGTTTCTTATTCTTACTCATCTTCTTCAGGTATGTTAGTAGGTGAATCATCAGTTTGTAGCTCGATCTGAAAATCGAGCGAATCAATATTTGATAATATCGTGGTATTTTTTGTTTGTTGTAATATGGAGTCAGGGAAATCTGGGAGATCTTGGACCCATTGATGGAGCATTTCCTTGAAGTATGACTCTATCATTGCGTCTCGCTGCTTAACGTGAGCAAAAAATGTACGGAGATCTCCCGATAAAGTCTCTACTTGTTCCCTCGTATGCTTAGAAGACTCAGTAGCAGTAGCAACTAATCTTATCGTGGCATTTTCCTTTTCCCCAACTTCCACATTCTCCTCAGGTCGATCCTTATTGAAACCTAACAATATCGGTAGCTTAGCCTTTATGATGCCCTTTAATCCTGGTAA